AAAAAAAAAAAAAAACTGCTCCGGTTTCTTTCCACCCGCCAGGAGCCGGGGGGAGGGGCGCTTGGGTCCCGCCGGGCCGGGGCTTGTATCTTAGCCCCTTCGCAAGGCACTGGGTTCTTGCAGGTGTGGATGTGGTCTGGATGTTGTCCTGTGTCCTGTGGTCTCTATTTTAGGAAGATTTTTCTTTGTTATATTTTCATAGCTCTATGTGTTTTTGGGAGATTTCCACTGCTCTACTCACGCCGCCATCTTGGCTTTCCTTTGTCTTTGATCCATTTTGAGTTAACTTTTGTGTATGGAGTCGACAGTAATCCAGTTTCATTCTCTTACATGTAGCTGTCCAGTTTTAGCAACATTAGTTGTTGAAGAGGCCATCTTTTTCACATTGTATGTCCATGGTTCTTTTATTTTATTTTAATTGATCATATATGCTTGGGTTTACATCTGGGCATCCTATTCTGTTCCACTCACCTATGGGTCTGTTCTTGTGCCAGTACCAAATTGTCTTAATTACTTTGGCTTTGTAGTAGAGTTTAAAGTTGGGGAGGGTAACTCCCTCCAGCTTTATTTTTCCTTCTCAGGATTGCTTCAGCTATTGGGGTCTTTTGCGGTTCCATATGAATTTTAGAACTATTTGTTCTAGTTCATTGAAGAATGCTGTTGGTATTTTGATAGGGATTGAGAAGCTGAAGATTTTTTAATAGATTTCATGGATCAACAATTACATAGCATTAAGGTAACAGACTATTTTTCGTAATCTATGATGCTGATTTTGACCTCTTTACCAACCTCAGGGATGACAGTATAATTATCAAACATATACTAGTGTTTCCTTTGTATTGTCTACTTGGTTCAACAATTAATTTCATTTTTTCCTCAAATGAATTACATATCAACAGAAGTGAAACTGCTCTTTAAAGTTGGCTAGTCTTTTGACACATAGATGACTGTTTAAGACCTTAGCAATGGTCTTTACATACACATGAACTGGTTGTATTAACTCTGCTAGATTTTAGAATATTACAACATATTCTGAGATGTGGCAGTTTCACTGCCTTTAATTGATTTGTCTGGTGTGTGACAGGCAATCTCCTGTATCTATAATAATGGTTCATTTCACTAGGAAATTTTTTTAAATCTTTCATATATAAAAGGTGGACTCTAAATTTTTAAGTGATAATTGAGCTAAGTCACAGACTTAGTATCAAATGATATGAAAATTATATGAACAATTATTTTTAACATTTTACAGTTTTAACACAGAAGTGCTAAAATTAAAGTTCAAACTGTTTCCTTAGAGGTATTCATTTGCAAAGAAAATTCTCTTGACAGGAGACCTTTTCTCTGGAGTTGGTAATGACATTACCATATGAATAACCGGACACTCTCCCCATGTCCCATCCCCATCCCCATCCCCCAACTCCCATCCAAGCAGTGTGCTGTTTCCTAGTATCGGAGGCAATCTGGAAAATGTGAACTTCCTGTACTCTAAATGCTTATAATATTGTTTGTTTTAAGAGTTCCTGTATTAGATCTTAGGAAATAAGTCTTGGAAAAGTTTACCTGTCCATTTTTGCTTCCTGCTGACAACAGGCTGCATAAGAGATGATGTTTTCATGGCTGCATCTCTCAGTGGCCAGAGCACCAACATAAAGAACAAAGTCTGCATCCTGGATGCCTTCTGGATCTGGCACAACCAATGGTTCACAGGGCCGCTTACCACCATGGCAGGCCCTGCATTGCTGTACCCATGATGGGTAACAAAAAATCACACCACAGACAAGGTTAGCTATAGGAACTTTTAACTTACAGTGAATCCAGACTCTAGATACATATGATTTAACTGTAACTTATTATCCCTCAACTTTTAGAAAAATCTGTATCTCCCTCTACTCAATTCCTACCTTTAAAATTTTAATTTATTCTACTAATACTTCTACTTTATCTAAAATGATCATAAGTCTAAACCTTAATTAAACCAAACAATTTTTATTTTAAAAAGCAGCCAACTAGGCTGCAAAAGAAACAGAAATAGAAAAGATTTTAAACCCTGAAACTAGGTGAAAGCTTCAAGGGACTTTCTTGTAGCTACATTTTTTTGCAACTTCCTGTGACTCTATAATTATTTCAAAATTAATTAATAAAAAACTTTTTATTTAATGGAAGTATATTTCCTATTATAAAGTAATCTATGTATCTGGTTAAAAATTCAGATAATATAAACATGTGAGGTAAAAAGTTAAAGTCATCTTGTAATATTACTTTTGTTTCTAGTTTTCTGATCTTTGCTCTTGTAATATCTGGTTTTTAGAGAACTTCTCCTTTCACATTTCTAAACAATCATAATCTCCAGATTATAAATAGAAAAATCAGTAGACTGTGGTTCTTTTTAGGCACAGCAATACTTGTACAGAGAGACCAAACAGAAATCCCCATTTCATTAGTGTTTACTTTTGCTTCTCTAATACATGTATTTATAAATTTTAAATTTAATTACTTGAATAGTTGGTATTACAAAAAGTTGTGACTTTTAAGCATTCTTTCCCATGATTAGTTATTAAAAAATAAAATCAGGACCCCCAAGCAAATAAATAGGAAGCAGAATTTGAAAAAGCCAAGAGAGTTAAAAACAAACAAAAAGTACCTTAGAAAAAAAGCAAAGAAATGTTTCCTAAAATGTCTACAAAATGGCTCTAAATTTCTTGGGGAACGAGATGGATATGTTATTAACAAGATGCTTAATCTTTTAATGTGTCCCTAAAACCCTATATATTCCCAAAAAATTTGAGAAAAGAAAGCTGAGTAACTTGGTTGTATTATATAGGGTTCCAAAGCCTTTACTGAGCTACAAATACTGTAAGAAAACAATTACAAAGTAAACTTCATCTAAACAGATGCTTAATTTTGGTCACAAAGTCCATGTTCAGCAATATATTCGTTTTCTATTAAGTAATGAGAGAATGGATTCAACAGCGAAAAACAGCTATAGCAACAATCATACTTTCCAATATAGATATATAATAAGTTGGTTTTCTAGTATATACATTTAAATCTTTTTCCTGAAATAATTATCACAGGAAGTTGCAAAAAAATGTAGGTATAAGAAAGTCCCTTAATTATGAAAGTAATATATGTTTTGAAAAATCAGAACATTACAAAAATATATAACTTATCAAAGAAAAGCCCCCCAACAATCCAACTCTTAAAGAAAATTGTTAACATTTTGGTTATGTGTCCAGATTTTTTAATATATATATACCTGCAGATTGTTCCATAATTTTTATCATATATGTATATACTTTTTCATGTTTATTCTTTTATTTCATTTTATTGAAAGTAATAGACTATAATTTTTAAATAAAATAGGCTAACTATACATACTGATTTATAACTTATTTTCATTTAAGAGCTTAAATATCTTTCTACATCAGTATATAGATATCTACTTTACAGATATAGAATATTCATTTTTAACAGCCACATAGTATTCCATTACATGTTTATTTCATAATTTAACTAGTACTAATATAAGCATTTTTATAGTTTTGCAAAGATCATCCTTGAACATATCACAAGCATTTTTATGAAATATATGTGTTTTTATGGAATACATTACCAGGTTGTATTGAAGCATACATATTTTTCATAATAATGTCAAATTGCACTTCAAAAACACTAAGGTATATATACCTGCTATAAGATTCTGAAGAATAAAGAAAGACAAAGTTCTAAGCTGAAATGATTCATCAGCCCCAGAAATAAAAAGAAAGACAGAAAAGGAAGGAAATTATTAAATTCATTTGAAAATCAAAGAAAGAATAAAATATACATACCTAACTGTGAGTACTTTTGGTAGAAGAAACTTTTTAACTTAAGTCTGTAAGAATTTCTTCATGACACTAAGATTCAAAATCTCTAAGTCTATCCTAAAGGGTAAAAACATTGCTAAGAGCAGGGTGAATTACCTGGAGGTGCTCCTCAGGCACTATCACTGGGCCGCATTTTGTATGCTCTGCACATTCCTTAGTACAGTATCTATGGGGATCATTTTCCTTCCGTTGGTAGTGGTTTGTTGTACATTGTCTTCAGTTCATTTATACATCAAAGTTTAATTACAAAAAAGAAGGAAAGAATAGTTCATAGCAGTTAAAAACATTGTAAAAAATTGTAGCTGCTATATTAGTTCAATGAACTAATATTATAATACATGGTTATAATATAAAGTTAATATTTCAGTTAGGAAAGTGAACTAAGAAAGAATTTTGGTTCCATGAGAAATGCTACTGATCTGGAGTTTCAAACACTCTAATACTTCATAAGGCCAATATTGCAGACACATGAAGGAGGGAGGAAGGAGATGTGGGGAAGAGGGGACAATTATACCCTAGGGTAAGATCCAATAGGTCATCTCATAATGGAAAATCAGGGAAACATGATTAGCAACTTGTGTTTTTTAATTATTTTTAAATATCTTGTGGTTTGGCATCTAAGAACAAATAAAGTAAAATAATATAGTTCAATTTTCATAATTTGCCATACTGGTAGAATTGGGAGGGCAGAGTGCTAAAAGACTGAAGAAAGTGACCTATGCTTAATGTAACATACCTGCTAAGTAAGATTGTGCCCGCAGGTCTACGAACCTGAAAAGTCTTCTCTAAATAAGAAATAGCTTGTGGAAAAAGTTTGTTCTAAATAAAAGTTGAAAAAAAAACAGTCATAATTATATTCAAGTGATAAATTATATTTAAAACAGGTAAGCATAGGATGTTAACTGAGGGGAAAAGGAAAAATTTTGTAATACAGATACTAGTTAGTCATAGGTTGTATGGCAAGGGGTGGGGGAGAGAATGAATCTAGGAGTAAAGGAATTTCCTCATTTTTTTGGTACAAGGAAAGAACACCAGGTGTAAAGTTCCTTCTGTATCTCTATTCAAACAGAATATTATAAAACATAAATCTCAACTGTCAATCTAAATTACTTCAAATTTGAGACTGATTTAGATGATTCCAACACTAGGGTGGTTTATGTTAAGAAAATCTTATGTTCAGAAGATCCACTTTAACTTCACCAATTTCTGTTGGCCCATAATGAACTGGCTTATGGTTATGAGGTTAACACCTCTATAAAAAACTTTAGCATATCATATTATCAGGTAAATTAATCTTAAGGAGAATGAGTCTTTCACCAAGAGAATGGTGTTCTCAATGTATTTCAAAAATCATCGTTTTCATGCTATCCTCTGTATGCTCTGCTACTCAAAACTCAAGAGAACAAGAAAATGAAAGACTGATTAAAAATTATAAGATAAGAGGACTAATTTAGTATCAAATGCTGACAAAGTTTTGTTGAGTGCATTACAAAGACACCTTTGGTGGAAATGACAAATACATTCACCACCGACACCCTTTATTCAGTCTTTTGCAAAATAGTCACATATATATTTTTCTTTATTGCAGAATTCACATACAATAAGCACCCATTTTAAGTATCAAATTCAAGCCACACATATTCACTACATACCTTTACAAGGTATCTTTTCTCAGGAAGCAACCTGAAAATGACAGCATAAAACATCAGAATTGCCATGGTGGGCCAGGGCACTATCTCACTGTTCAGAATACATCTGGCTAGAGCCACGAAGAATACTTTGTGGAAGCATGCAGTATCAGTCCCCCAAAATCTCAATTTACCTTGGTGAGCATTTGAGACTTTAGTCTGTGACAAAGCACAATGCTAGGCATGACCATATGTTACCTCATTCATTTGGGAAGCCTAGAAGTTTTTGTAACTACTCAGATTCATAATTTATCTGTTTTTTGGATCTGTCTTACACAAATTAAAAAATAAGACTGTATCATCTGATTAATAATTTTGTAAGCATTCTTATTATTGTATATACTAGAACTTCTTATTTTTCTTCCAAGTACTAATTGCGGAGGTGCCTGCCACATCTGTTACTGACTACATCCAAGTAGATTCACACTTGTTCTGTTTAAATTATTCGTGGTGTGTAGATTTTAATCATATCCCATTGGCTTCATCTTTTCAGACTTTAAAAGCATTTAGATCAAATCCATCTTGAAGGTGTGTTAGCACCTATTTCCAGGTGAAGACATCTTTAAGTTTGATGCTTATTTAAAAAAAGACAAAATAATGGTGTACTTACTCTTCAATACTTTTATCATAAACAGTTTTGATTCTTAAATGTTCATCAACATCTCTCTTTACAACATGATTTGCCTTAAGATGGACCTTCTTTATGACCTGAAAAAAGGAACAGATTTGAAAAAAAAAAGTGTAAACTAGCTAACTGAGATCCCAAATTAAAATTAATAAACTAAATTTCAAGTATAATACCCAGAAAAAAAAAGGAGAGATATTTCATGTTCACAGATAGGAAGACTCAATATTGTCAAGATGTCGGTTCCTTCCCACTTGATCTATAGATTCAGTGCAATCCCAATAAAAATCCCAGCAAGTTATTTTGTGGATATCAATAAACTGATTCTCCAGTTTATATGGAGAGGCTAAAGACCCCCAAAAGCCAAAAGAATATTAAAGGAGAACAAAGTTGGAGCACTGGCACTACCTAACCTCAAGATTTACTACAAAGTTACAGTAATCAAGACAGGTGGTACCAATGAAAAAAGAGACAGATCAATGAAACACAATAGAGAGCCCAGAAATAGACCCCTATGAATAATAGTCTGATATTTCACAAAGGAGCAAAGGCAGTAAAATGGAGCAAGGATAGTCTTTGCAACAAATGGTGCTGGAACAATGGGGCATCCACATGGAAAAAAAATGCATCTAAAGACAGACCTTACATCCCTCACAAAAATTAACCCAAAATGGATTACAGACCTAAATATAAAACTATAAAACTTGTAGAAGATACTGTAAGAGAAAACTTAGATGACCTTGGGTACGGTGATGACTTTTTTAGACAACACTAAAGGCATGATCCATGAATGAAATAATTATAAGTTCAAATTTATTAAAAATTTAAACTTCTGCTCTGTGAAAAATTACATCAAGAAAATAAAATAAGCCATAGACTGGGCAAATATATTTGCAAATGACACATCTGATAAAGGACTATTTCCAAAATATACAATGAACTGTTAAACCAAAACAGTAATAAAATGAATAACCCAATTAAAAAATGGGCAAAAGATATGAACAGACACCTCACCGAAAAAGATACACAGATGGTAAATAAGCATATGAAAAGATGCTCCACATTATATGTCATTAGGGAAATGAAAATTAAAACAAGATATAACTACACATCTATTAGAATGTCCAAAATCTGGAACATGGACAATACCAAGTATTGCCAAGGTTGTAGAACAACAGGAACTCTCATTGTTGGTGGGAATACAAAATGGTACAGCCACTTCAGAAGACCATTCAACAGTTTCTTGCTTGCTTAAACTATAATAATCTGGCAGTTGTGCTCTCTAGTATTTACTCTAATGAGTTAAAAACGTATGTCCTCACAAAAACTCTGCATGGATCTTTATAGCAGCTTTAGTCCTAATTGCTACAAGTCAGAAGTAGCCAAGATGTCTTTTCAGGATGTGAATGGGTAAATAAACTGTGGTACATCCAGATGATATAATATTATTTAGTGCTAAAAAAAGATGAGCTATCAAGCCATGGAAAGACATGCATATTAGTAAGTGAAAGAAAAGGCTACAACCTGAAAGGCTACATACTGTATGATTCCAATTATATGATGTTTTAGGAAAGGCAAAACTATAGACACAATAAAAATATCAGGGTTTGCTAGAGGTGGGGAGAGTGTGGGATGAAGAGGTGGAGCACTTCTTCGGATTTTTAGGGCAGTAAAAATATTATACATCAGTCTAACACCAAGAGTGAGCCCTAACATAAACTCTAAACTTTGAGTGATTATAATGTGTCAATGCAGGTTTGTCAATTTTAACAAAAGTACACTCTGGTTGGAATGTTGGTAATGGGGGAGTCCATGCATATGATGGAGAACAGGGATTTGGGAAATCTCTGTAACTGTTTCTTAATTCTGCAGTGATCTTAAAACTACTCTAAAACATAAAGTCTTATTTGAAGAAAGAGAGAGAACAGAAGACAAGGGAACAAATAGTTAAGTGCTAAAAAGAATACTTTAAACACTCAAGTCTGTATTCAAGAAACTACCCTTCAAAAATGAAGAGAACATTTCAAATAAATGAAATAAAGATATTGATAAATGAAAAGAAGATAAATGAAACCTGAGATAATTCATCACCAGAAGGCTGGCACTACAGGACATCCTAAAGGAAGTTCTTCATGGTCGTGGAAACGACACTAGATAGTAACTTGGATCTTGCTTTAGTTCAGATTGCTATAACAGAATATCATAAACTGCCTTATAAGCAACAGGAATTTATTTCTCATAGTTCTGGAAGCTAGCAAGTCTAAGATCAAAAATGTCTTAAGATTCGGTGTCTGGTGTGAACCCACTTCTTGGTTTCATAAAGCCATATTCTGATTTGTCCTCCGGCAGAAGGGGCAAAGCTCTCTGGGGTCTCTTTCACTAAAATACTAATCTCATTCATGGAGGCTCTGAACCTCATGACCTAGTCACCTACCAAAGACCCCACTTCCTATCCATTACATTTGGAATTGGGATTTCAACATATGAATTTTGGGGGGAAAATTCAGCTATGCCAGATGTGTAAAAAGGAACGAATGAGAAATGGTAAATATGTGAATAAACATAAAAGGCTGTTGAGCAGAAGAGTTAACATAGCAGGCCTAAGACTACTATCTTTAGAAAGGTCTACTTGCAAGTTTGCTTGTTTAAGTCTGACCTTTAACTGATATGGGAACTTGAATAGTAAACAGTTCCCTACACTGATACAAAATTTCTCTAAGTGATAAGGAAGGATCATTGCACCTAAACTGTTAATAGAAACAATACAGTTTATGCTGAATACTTGTTTTATTTATCAGTCTGCAATATTAGTGACTGATATTGTGCCTACATGACCAATCTCCAATAAAAAACGCTGGGTTCCTAAGCTAAGATGAGCTTCTCCAGCAGACAACATTTTGTGTTTGTGTTATAAGTCACTACTGAAAGAATTAAGTGTGTCCTGTGTGACTAGGAACTCTTAGAAGCTTGTGCCTGGTTTCTCACCTCCAATCTTTGCTCCAAAGAACCTTTCCTCCTTGTTAATTGTGCCTGCATCCTTTTATTGCAATAAATATAAGCTGTGAGTATGGCTATATGCTGAGTCCTGTTGAGTCCTTCCAGCAAACCACCAAACCTGGGTGGTCTTGCAGACCCTTAACATAATTATACACATTTTCTTTTCTTATTTTTCTTTCTTCAGAGATGTTAACTGTTTAAAGCTATAATTATAAAGTCATAATTGTGAGGTTCACATATGGAGGTAATACATATTACAATAAGAAAAAGATCAGGGTATAAGTGAAACTATACTCTTGAAAAGTTCTTATATTTAACATGAATATCAACTTTAAGTAGATATCATAAATACAAGATACACAGTGCAATCACCAAAGCAAACACTCAAAAAAAATATTGCATTATATTGTAAGTTAATTATACCTCAATTTAAAAAATAAAGCAAAAAGATAGAGCTAAAAAGTCAACAGAAGAACCAAAATAGAGTACTAAAGAAAGAACAGTGGAAACACACAAAAATCAAGTGAAACCTAGAAAAAATAAACAGCTAAACTGCACACCCAAGTCTAACCATGTTGATAATCCCATTAAATGTTAACATTAAATATAAATGGACTGAACATTCTCATTAAAAAGCAGAGATTGTCAAGCTAGATAACAGCAAGATTCAAGAAACTTATTTTAACTATAATGACAAAGAGGTTGAAAGTAGAAGTACAGAAAAAGATATAGCATGTAAACATTAATCAAAAGAAAGCCAGAGTGGCTACATAAGTATTAGACAAAGTATATTTTAAAACAAGGAATATTACTGAGGATAAAGAAAGAGACAGTATGTAATGCTACATGGGTTAATTAACCAAGAAAATGCAACAATCTAAAATGTGTAAACACCCAACATCAGTACTACAAAATATATGAAGCACAAACTGAAAACCAAAAGAAAAAACAGACAAATCCACAATTTAGCTGGAGGCTTCAAAACTCCTATCTCAATAATTGATAAAAGTAAACAGAAAATCAGTAAAGATATAGGAGACATGAGTAGCACTACAAATAAATTGATACATCTGACATTCATAAAATGTCCTGATGACAGGAGAATGTACCTTTTTCTTAAGAACACATGGAACATTCAGCTAGATAGATTACATTTTTGGCTATAAAAACAAACCTTAAGAAATAGTAAAAAACTGAATCATATAAAGGATGTTCTCTATCCATAACAAAATTAAACTAGAACACAGTTACATAAAGAAAACTTGGAAATCCCCTAATATTTGAAAATCAAACAACAAACTTCTAATTAATCCTTAGGTTGAAGATGAAGAAATGTTTTTCACTGAATGAAAAAATTTATTTTTCATTAATCACAACAAATTAATCTTTGGGGGATGTAGCTAAAGCAGTGTTTAGAGGGAAATTTATAGCTTTAAATATTTACATTAGAAAAAAATAATCTCAAATTAATGATCTAAGCTTCCATCTTAAGAAACTACAAATTTTAAAAAAAGAAAATAATAAAGAGCAGAAACCAATTAAATGGAAAACAGAAAAACACAATAGGCCTCCTATTGTTTTTCACTATTTCAGTTACCTGTAGTCAACTGAGGTCCTTCATTAGACAGTAAATAGTAGCCTAACACTATGTCACAATGCCTAGATCATTCAACTCACTTTAACTCATTACATAGGCATTGTATCATCTCCCATCATCACAAGAAGGAGGGTGGATACAGTACAATAAGATATTTTAAGAGAGAGCTAACACATTCACTTAACTTTTATTATAGTATACTACTAGAATTGTTTTATTATATTTAATCTCTTACTGTTACCTAATTTACAAACTAAACTTTATCAAAAGTATGTATATACAGGAAAAAATATGGTATGTAGGGTTCAATACTGTCTGTGGTTTCAGACATCTACTAGGGGTCTTGGAACATATGCCCAGTGAATAAGGGGGATTACTGTACAAGAGAAACATCAATGAAAACAAGAGCTAATACTATGAAAAGGTTAATACAATTGATAAACCCCTAAGCTAACTGACCAAAAGAAAGAGGACACCAATTATCAATAT